CTCCCAAGAAATCTCGGTTTCTCCGCCTCTGTAAGTTCATAGGCCTACAAAAAAATTATAAAACTAAATCTTACCAATCCCAGAATTTTACTTTATCTTTAACTGAGAAATTCCACCCCCACAACGAATGAAAAATCTGACAATGAAGCTGAACATCTGTACTCAGAACTTGGGAAAGTAAAGTGGAGCCCCCAACTAACAAGCAGAAACTAAGCTATATGAGGATCCAATTACCTAAGCTTACTCAAAGAAATATTGCAAATACAACAAAGCGAAAGGAAGACAATTTTCGTTACCATGCCATTAGTAAAAAGACCACCAGTGAAGAAAGCAACAACACAGCTGCTAGTAAAAGGCCATAAATCAGGTAGCTCTTGCAACCGTTTCTTGTCTTTATTGCACCAACAGTTACACCTAAATAAGGCTTTTAACAACTTAAGAATACTCTTTTTTTTTTTTTTTTTTTTTCTTTCAGATTAAAATATACACGAGTACAAATAACAATACTAGAATAATGATAACTTAAAACACATATTAATATAATTAAAATTTGCGACATAATATCAGTCAATATTTATGTGTAAAATTAAACAAAATTAAAATTTAGATCGACAATGCAATGCTAATTAAGTGTGGACTTTATCTAACTGATTTTTTTTCTGACTTATCTAGCTATTGCTCAGTTCATATATTTTAGCATATCTATTCCTTTATGGGTTAAATGGAAGGGTTTAGATCAATGTGAAAAAGGGTACTAGATATCTGGGACATAATTCCTCATAAACAATCTGAGGATGCCTTTTTGGCTAATTGGGTGCTTAATAGTTGCAAACCTTAGTAGTATATTAACTGTTTTTAATTCTATTTGTATTTCCTTTGCATGTTGCTTTAGCTTCATTTGGTTCCTTTTACTAGTTTTAACATTTGCTTTACTATATTAATTACAGATTTTAATTTGACTCTAACAGCAGTTGTTTATTTCTCTGATTGATGGTCTAGCTTTTGTGGTTTCTTGCAAGCAGATATACGAAGTAGGATTTTTAGTACAAAGGGGGCTTTATCCCTGAAGGACTATTGTTTTCGTTTTGTGATTTTGCATTGAATCACTATAAATGGCCGTTTCACTTTCCAAACTGTTGCCACCAAATATTAGAGTCCTGCATTATATTGGTAGAAAATAAATAATAAAAATCTGCATAAATGTATGTATATTTCTCGCATTGTGATAAAACAACGGTACATAGAGCCATCGAATTTTGAATGACGTAATCCTCCTACGAGTATGGGCATGTGCAAGACCAAATTTGGAATTTGTTTTATTATCGATTTCATATTTTGTAAAATTTTTAACAAAGTTTTGAGTAACAAACTCAATGATTTAAAAGCGAGCAATAGAAACCCTTTTTATCTCCAGTGCGCGGAACTGTGTATTGGAAATTCTAAAGATAGGCTCATTTTAAAATTATTTTGCGACATTGCTTTTGAACTGAATTTTATGGTTTAAGTGCAAAGAACATGATATTTAATAAATAAAGGTAACACAAATGGTAAAAAAACACCCCTTTAGACATAATTTAAAATCTAAAACCTTCCAGATTTTTATTTCTGTTTATTTTTACATCATAGTAATTGAATAGATGTTATGTACACTATATATAAATAATTGCATCAATTTGTACAAAATTACAATATATAAAGCTTATCTCATTAAACCTTCCATCTCTCCTACCAAGAAACTAACTATGTCATTTACATCGAAAGTACTACATATTTTTTTCTTTAATATTTTGAGAATCAGGCGTTACAGATGGCTGATTCCTAGAAATTTCTGTTGCATTTCTCTTGGTTACCATTTAGAGCTGCACTTTTAATTTTACTCTCTTGTATGAAAACATTGACAGTTAAAATATTATTTAGTTAAAGTGCTGTTCTTTCCCTTCATCCCCTATAAACTCTTTTATGGCTTAATTGTTCAAGGTGGCCTTTCATTCAACTGATCAGTGTCTTCCAAATGCCTGATATCACATGCTGTGTTTCTGCTTTTCCCCTAAACAGCATGATTGCTTAAGGTAGAGTTTCCCACAATGCATTGTATCAGCTCATCTTTATTATAGACAGTCTTGTCCAAAAAATAGTTTTTTGTGGTTCTTTAGCTTTAGGTTTCCTCCTGGAGTAGTATACTCTGTATTAGTACTGTACCATGACAGTAGCAGCTCTGGGGTACAATAACATGGACTTGGTTCCTAGAGTCAGAAAGAGCAGCCAGTGCTGTTCCAGATGGCTGTGTCTTCGGCCGTCCAAATGGGCTAGCATGACGGCCCATTCGAGGAACTGCGGTTCATCAATAATCTTCCCCATCGTTCATGTTTTTATGCGAATGGGAGTGATGACCTTGGGTTGCTAGTTTAGTGAGAGGGGATAAGAGAGAGTTCAAATTTTTAAAACTCCGCCTGCGAGTGGTTTATGGGTATGTGATGAGGACTCCATTTTGGTGGCTTTTTGATGATTCCCAACCTCCCATCTAACACAGAGATGTGGGGTCCATTCATGTAGTGCCAGACATCAAGATGGTGGAATACATAATTTAAATAGATTTATCTTTAGGTTAAAACTTACTTAGCATTTGCTCAGTGGCTAATAGAAGTTCCATTGTTAGAAACTAGGAATGATATAATTTAAAACTTTCCCATATCTTTGTACATTAATTAAATGGAAGGGGGGACGAATTGTTGTCAACCTGGGGGGGGAATTGAATTTGAGGCTTTCTGGTATTTTAATGAGCTACCTTTCAGTGTGCCCTTTTTGCATATTTCATGGAACATAGGCAGAGTTTAAATTGAGGTAGAGCCCAGCTCCGATATTTTTTAGTATTATCGATTCTAGCGGGAGAGCAGTGGAGCTCTAAATAAAAAGGATCCAGCACTTCTGCTATGTAACCGCTCGACAATTTCAGTAGAAATTTTATCTCGAAAATTTTATTTTTAGTAATGTGTGTGTGTGTTATTATGGCAAAGCTTCAAGGGCTATCTGCCTAAGGGAAGGGATGCCTTCGTGGAGGACTTTCTAAGGGAAACTGGCTCGTATACACATTACACATGGGAAAAATCAACGAAAACACCCATGCAGCCAGCCTGTTCGCGGGATTCGAACCTCGGACTGAACTACCAGTGTTCAGCGACTTTACCGCTCGGCCGCTGGTGAGCCCTTATTTATAGTAATAAAATTTATTTAAAATCGCTTATTAAATTTTAATTTATCTGTTTACATTTTATTAAATTCTAATTATTTAATTACTTTAATCACTAATTATTTAATTATTTTAATATTTAATAATTAAAATAAAATTTTTAATTATTTAATAATTAAAAATTTTGTTTATTTATTCATGTTCTTTTTTCATGACAGTCTTCCATAGGGCTCCGGCATTTCTAATTTTAGGAAATTAAGCCCTAAACATAAATAATTTAAACATAATAGCTCATGAATATTCATATTGTTGGTACTACATTGTGTGCAATCCTTTGGCTTGAATATATTGATATTGTGTGCATAAATTTAATTGATGGATTAGCTCGAAAGAGGATTTTCTGGCTAGGAATTCAAAGCTGAATAAAATTGGCAAAAATGCAATGCTTCTGTGTCTGATTCTAGTGTTTTTTTTTTAACCTTTTTTTGCTTGTTAATTCTTCTTCTGTGGTTGTTCCTTTGTAACATCATGAGGAACTTTTTTCTAATTTAATGGTGCTTTAATTTTTTAACAAATATATCTAGTATATATCTGGCTATATCAGCTTAAATTGTTTTGAAGCATTTAAAAAATTTTTGTGGAATCAAGATAGATTCATGGTGTAGCAGCTTTAAAGTTGCTCCAAATTTTTGTTTGGAAATTTTAGGTAGATGTGTTTGTAATAAAAGCCAGTTAATAGCTCTGCAATAAAGTTTTAATTTATTTGTTCGTGCCAGTTTTTGGAAGCATATAATCAATGTTATCAACCCTGTCTTTTGATGGAAAGTGGGAATAACTGGTTTCATCCTCTGTTTTGCGGTTTAGTTGTTTCTGCTTGGCTCTAAAATCTTTCTTCAAAGAAATCTGTTCTTATTTGTCATTTTATTTCCATTTATCTTTAGATTTTCCTTTCCTTCTTGCTTGAGTTCTTTAATTAATCTGTACTAATATTTTTATTAATCTTCTTCACTTTTAGATAGAATTTTCTGTTCATGCTGATATTTTATACTTCTTTAGGATCTCTATTTGTTCTAAATTTATCACCTAGCCAGTTATGCTGATGATGTTTTCTTCTCCAGTTTGAATAAATCTATCTGACCTAGCTGACTTGGGAGATCATTATTTCCATTTGATGCATTTGATGTATAGTAAATTAAATCTTCAACTGTTTAAACATTGGTTTTGGCCTATTGAAACATTAAATTTAAATTAACTGTGTCAGTGTAAAATGCATATAAATTATGTAGGCAGGAAAGAAAAATACTGATAAGTAGCATCTACATAAAATTAAAATTTCTTGTATCCGTCATGTCTTAAAAAATGTAATGGTGTAGTATGCAATCTGCTGCTTATAGTAAGTTAGTTAGTTATTTCTTAAATGGTGCCATGTAAAGGCTATTTTTAAATATAAAAACAAATAATTAAGAATGCATAAATAAAAATGATTCCATTGCTTAATGTAATAGCTCATTAAGTTTTTAATTTCATAAAAATTAAATTTAAATAGCTTCACAATTCAATAATATTAGCTTATAATAAAATTAATAAAAGCTTCAATACTTTTCACATTGGAATATGCAGTGAAAGAGTCGGGAAACGAATGATTAACACAATAACCAATTTTAGTGGCACCATTAAAATAAATAAATAAATAATAGTAGATCACATATTTACATTGTCACCCCCCCCAAAAAAACTGCCTTTACCTAAAAATTATTTGTTATTAAAATTTTAAATATTTCTTTAAGTTTTTTTTATTATTATTTATTTACAGAGGCTGCAAAAGAGCAACTGACTATAAAACATCCAGAATCTGATGAACTGTCATTTCTTTATGGCACTATTATTACAGATGGAAAGGATAAATATTCTGAAAGTCCAACCAAGAATATTTGTGTATTTGCAGATAAGCAGGTAATTAAGTGGTATTTATAAAAATATGATCTATGAAAAATATTATATACAATGAATTCTATGGATTAACTACCTCATCAAGACATTTCACATAAAATGAATTAAAAAAATATGTTATAAAACGTGTTATGATGCATTTCATATGAAAACTAAAGTAAATATATTAAAATGTGTTATAAAGTTCTTCATTTGAACAGTATCTTGTATATTTAAACAGTGCCATTGCATAATTGAATGTGGGAATATTAATTGATTAATGAAATGGGGATACTAAATTTTCATAAATTTATCACAGTTTAGCTTTAATGAGGAAATTCATCTTTCCATTTATTTAGTTCTGATTTTGATGAAAATAAAGGAAGAAAAAATATTTAAGAATTCTAACACATTTCTTATTAAGAACTTTGCTGGTGCTGAAAATGAATAAAACAAATTTGTTTTATTCAAAAGTGTGTCTTTTTTCTGTTAACTATTTCTTTCCAACTTCCAGAATCTTTTTTTTTAAGGGTACTTTTTGTATTTTCTATATCTTTAGTTATTAAATCATTATTCATTGTTTAAAATTATGACTGCTATCAAAGTAGTTCAGGGAGGAAGTTAGTTCTGGTTTGTTATTTATTCGTTCCTTTGATAGTGTTTTTAAGAAAACTAACTGTCATTTTGTTTCAGAATCATTTTAGAAAAATATTATTTTTCCTTAAATGTTTAGTGAATAAAATTATAGCACAAATCTGTTACTAATATGTTGTTTTGAAGTGTGTGAAATCTCTAGACAGCTTTGCTATGAACTTTCCTCATGTTCAAATTACTGTAAAAGTTTCCTAAAGATCTCTTTATGAAAGTGAACCTCTTCTACAGTCATTTTAAGGCTGAGTAAATTATTTTGAAAAATTTCTTATGACATTTTTATTTATTTTAATTTTTTAAATTGAAAGGTTCTAGGCAGTGATTTTTTTAACATTAGGTAGATATCTACAGAAGCTTTTGTCTCATTCGAGCTCATGTAAGTACCATGCATTCTTTTTGACAAACCTGAAATGACATTATTAAAATGTGGGTAACTATTTTATTCACTTTCATAAAAATGTTCAAATTAACATTTCACATGATTTTTGAACTGTTTGTTTTTATCATTGATGTGATAAATGACTTCAAATGACATATGATAAGAAAGTGTGATTAAAATAAACTAATAAGAAAGTGTGATTAAAATTTACTTATTTTCATTCTGAGGAGGGGCTGTATAGCTTTAAACAAAAATTGTGATAATTTAATTCACTTGAGGCGAGATTTATTTAAAATGTATATGTATGTCTTATTTAGTGCTCTTTTGATTTAATAGTTTAAGTTTTTTTTATCATAACAAGACAAAAATTTGGCATAATATAATGTTTTATGCTTTTTTTTAAATCAAATCAAAATTATATATGCCTTTAACTGCACTGATGAAATAAATGAAGAGAATTTGCATATTTTATCGAATTGGATGAAAAGAACTGAGCTGAAGGAGAAACCACTGCTTTTATATAAAAATGCAAATCTTGTGCAGCAAATACGTAAGCGTACCTGTGTGTGTAGGCGGAGACAGCAGGGAAACAGGCTTTATTAAGTGCGTGGAGGGTAAGACAAGTTGCGTTCGCTAGCACTCCTTGGTGAATTTTTTGGTGTTATCTTCCAGCAATCGGTTAAATTTACATCAGAACAGTAAAAATGAGTAACCATGAACGTTTAGATGATGGAATGAGGTGGCGAATTTTGGGGAGGTTAGAGGCAGGCCATCACAAGTCCAGATATGCAGAGAGTTTACTTTAATCCCAGTGTCATGTGTGGGGTATGGAAACAGTTCCAGGATACTGGATTAATCGAAAGAAAGCCTGGGCAAGGTCGTCCAAGAGCCACGTCAGCCAGAGAAGATTGCTATTTGTCCATTTTAGCAAGGCGTAACAGTGGGGCTACATCTACTCAGCTCTCTCAGGACCTGTATGCAGCCACAGGAACCCATGTAACAAGGTAACATATTTCCAAAAGACTGAATGAGAGAGGGTTGTTTGCCAGAAGACCGGCTGTTTGCGTCCCGCTCATGTCTACGGACAGGAGAGTCCAATTAGCATGGTGCAGGCAGCATAGTGATTGTAGTATGGAGCAATGGGCGACTGTTCTGTTCACAGATGAGTCTCATTTTAACTGAAACACTGTTTCTCGCCATATTTTCATATGGAGAGAGCCAAGGACCCGCTACCTACCCTCCAGTACCTCTACCTACCTTCAGACTCCCATGAGTTTTACGCACGAACATGTGTGTCTATTATAACTGTTGAATGTTTATTTTGTTTGTATTATATCAACCTATGTTCACACCAAATTTTACATAAACCTGTCCTGTAGTTCTGAAGATCGTAGATTAAGTCTGAAAATTCTCTTAATTTCTTTCACCAGTGTAGTTCTGAAGTTTGCAGATAGGTGGCTCCCCCCTCTGTATGTTTCCTAATAATGTATCTGTATAATTACAGCTTTAAAAATGTATTAAAAATAATGGATATTTAATAATAGTAGCAGCCCTGTAAAATTCTGGAGTAACATTAAAATAAATTCTTCTTAGCCAATAATGGATATTTAACTTGCAAGAACGGATGTTGGGTCTTACAGGCCCAGGCGAATATTCAGTGGGTTGCAAAACATCTCCTTTTTCTTGAAAATGGTTGAATCTACCAGTACCTGTTTCCAAGATCACCCTCTTTGCATTGCATAGAAAGTCATATTTCTTGAAGCCCTCTTTAGCTATGAAATTAATCTCCGAGCCTGAAAGACTAAATGCGCGTTCTCGCATTGCATAGAAAGTCATATTTCTTGAAGCCCTCTTTAGCTATGAAATTAATCTCCGAGCCTGAAAGACTAAATGCGCGTTCTCGCATTCGTGTTATATATATATATATATATGTAATGCTTGTATAAGAATTTCAAAGATGCATCATTATTTAAGGTATAAAGATGAAATAAAACAGCTTCAAACATTACTTGCCGAAGTATCAACAGATGAAGAATCAATAAATGGAGATGATGATAAAGAAAGTATTGATGAAGAAAATTTAGTGCTCATGAAACTTTATCGGAAGAAGAATTTGATTCAGATGATGAAATAGATGCACCTAGTTTAGGCGAATTTTATATTGGGAAAGATGGGATAACAAAATGGAATAAAAAAAGCCAAAACAAAATATAAAAACACTTTCGCATAATATTGTTACTAAATTACCTGGAAATGCTGGTAATGCCAGAAGTGTTTCGTCCCCTACAGACTCTTGGTTATTACTGTTCGATAATACCATATTAGAGCACATTGTTGACTGCATGAATATTTATATGGACAAGATTGCGGATAATTTTCAAAGATACCGTGACTGCAAAACAAAACTAATTTAATCAAAATAAAATAATTCGTAATTAGTCTTTATCTTTGTGGAGTGCATAAATCCTCTCACGTTAATGTGGAAGATATTTGGGCCACTGATGGCACAGGACTCAAAATGTCCTGTACCATCAGAGGATAATAAAGAATTCGAAGTTCAGATTTTGTCTTTAAATGCTCTGTTTGGAAATAAAACATTTATTGATTCCAGGTACTCCAGTGTCTTATCAATGGACTATGTCTTATAAGAAATATTTATTTCTGTTATGTTGCCTAAGATTCAATGATGTTAGAGATCGTATGAAAAGGAAAGAACTTGATAAACTTGCTCCTGTAAGATCTGTGTTTGACTTATTTGTAAATAACTGTAAGAAGTTATCAGGCTTGGTGAGTACATCACCATCGATGAAAAACTAGAACCTTTTAGAGACAGATATCCTTTTAGGCAATATATTCCCAGTAAGCCTGCATAGTACGGCATTAAAATGTTTGCGCTAGTGGATTCACGCACCTTGTATACCTGGAATTTAGAGATCTCTGCAAGGATGCAACCTGAAGGTTCCTACAAATTGGAAAACAGTGCAAACAAAGTTGTTATGAGACTTGTCACACCTTTTTAACACAGGAAGAAACCTCACTGTTGACAACTGATATACGAGTGCTGGTCTAGCTAAAGCTGTTCGAGGTAAAAAAATTACTCTTGTTAGAACAGTAAGAAAAAATAAAATAGAAATACTGAAGGAATTAACTTACTCCAGAAAACGAGAATTGCACTTAGCTCTCTTCGGATTTAAGAAACATATGACTTTTGTGTCATATACCCCCAAAAAGAATAAATGTGTGCTTTTATTATCAGCTATGCATAATGATGATGCTATAGATCCTTCACCTGCTGATGCAAAAATCTGAAATTATTACTTTTTACAACCTGGCAAAAGGTGTAGTGGATGTAGTAGACAAAATGTCGGCTTTATATTCTATGGCTAGGATTAGCAACAGGTAGCCCATGGTTGTACTTTTAGTACGTTAAATACAGCTACTATCAATGGTTGTCCTGTTACTGTCAACTGATAAACCTGAAGAAAAGTACCATAAAAGGAGGCTCTTTTTGAATGATCTTGTGTTAGAACTTCTAAAGAAACATAAAACAAAAGAATCCAACCTAATATTTTCAGGAGCTTGCGAATGGAACTAAACAGAACACAACCTGAACAAGTTGATGACCCTCCATTTAAAAATTTAAAAGCTGCTGAAAGGAAAAGTTGTCATATATGTCCCGCTGTGAAGAACAGAAAATCTAAATCATACACAAAATGTGAAAAAAAATTTTGCGGTGAGCATAGCTCCATAGTGTGTAATATGTGCCAATAAATATATACCAGCATCCTGTTTGTAGCTTCATATCTAAGTATTTTTTCAGTATTAAAAGTTTAAATTCATTAAGTCATTAATTTAGTTATCTTCTTCAACAGTTCAATTATCTTACTGTATTCTGTTATCTTATTCAATGTTATGATGTCAGTGGCGTAGCGAGGGGGGCAAGGGGTGTATCAGAGGGGTGCAAATGGTCTCCTAACAAGATTTCCATCATATC